TGAATTGGAAGAGATACCATCTTGAGTTGTACTAATAATTTAGCTCAACGGCATCCAACAAAGAAGGCATTATTCTTGGATCATGTACACACATCATAGTCTGAACTGGAGTAAACAGAATATTGGCTTCAATAAGAGATGTTATTTAGAGCACACTTGAGACATTGTGATGTAATTGTGTACCGAGGCCGAGAAGTGTTAGTCTGCATTTTATTAAATATCCATTTTAGTGTACAGCATTGTACTAGGAATGATAAAAAGCAAAACAGACACTTACTCAAGGCCTGTCTAGATTTTGACCTCAAGTACTTCCCCCTCATCACCTTCTTTCCCGCCCACGGCTGAGCTAGGGATGAGAAACCCTAAGTCAATAGGTCACCAACTCAGCTTCAAGCCATGTGGGCTGCCAGTTTTTATTTGACCTCAGAACCCCAGTACTGGCACCTAGAAGTGTCCACGATCCTGGGGCTCAATTTAAACTTTCAGTTAATGGCACTCATTACCTCTCTTCTCCCAACAATGCCTGTTGTCCTCTTACCTCCCCTCCCCACCCTCTTGGGGTCACATCTCTTTTGGGGCTTTCATATCTGTGTGACTGCCTGAAGTTCAGAGACTTCTATTCCATCGTCTTCTTCTGTACATTTGCATTCCTCTTTCACTATTCAGAGTATTTTCATGTATTTATCCTCATGGAGGACTCTCCATTTCCCTGAGAGTAGGCTAGGCAGGTGGTATTGTCCCATCTTATAACTGTGAGTGCTGCAGCGAGAGAGGTTAATGACTTGCCCAAGATGCAGAGGAGACTTTTAGAGCTTGTACTTCAATCTTGATCATTAGAATCCAGTTCCATCAACTATTCAATTGTAATGCTTTTTCTTAAGGAAAAAGGAAAAAACCTTTAAGAAAGCTATAATGTAGTAACAGAATGAGCAGTTGTATAGTAAATATATTGATGTGTGTGTGTGTGTGTGTGTGTGTGTGTGTGTATAATTCTTGTGGTGGATACATAGGAGCTTTGTCTGAATGTTGTAGCCCTTTTTGCCTTGCCCACCTAATAGATGAGAATATCTAATGAAGAATGCCCTTTGGTCAACTGGAAAATAACATCCCTGAAAAGGGCCTAGAAGAAACCCCTTTCTGGGAATACTCCACTGTACATAATTCATAGGCTCTCAGGGTTGGAAGAGACACGTCATCTGGTTCACCAGGTGTTTGATGGTTAAATCCTTGGTTAGATCCCATCTGAATTCTTGAGGGCTGTGGAATGATTTTGAGGAACAATCATTATTATACGTGACCCTTAATGACCTAAAGATGTTTCTATGTTCTATCAAACTAAATGGAATATTGGCGATTTAAAAGAAAAAATTGTTGCATTATTTTTTGGGTCATCGGAGCAGGAATAAAGACGCAGAAAGGGGAAGCTGGGATGAAGTGAGAGACTAGCATTGACATATGTACACTACCAAATGGATGGCTAGTGGGAAGCAGCTGCATAGCACAGGGAGATCAGCTCGCTGCTTTGTGATGACCTAAAGGGATGGGATAAGGAGGTTGGGAGGGAGGGGTTATGGGGATATATGTATACATATAGCTGATTCCCTTTGTTGTACAGCAGAAATTAACACAACATTGTAAAGCATTTATACTCCAATAAAGATGTGAAAAAAAAAGATTTTTTAAAAGTTCAATTTTTGAAACATTTCCCTTAGAATTTGTTAGCTGTTATGAAAATTGCATAGTTAGACATTTGTTTAATCCTGTTGTTTAATGGAATGTGATTTTTTTTTTTAATGTGACTAAATGACGGTAGTTTTCTTTTTTCTCTTTCTGTGTTTCTCTGTATTTACAAGCTAGGTGCCATTTCTCCCAGAATTGTTAACCATTGTACGTAGGTTTAATTTGTGTAACGTGCACAGGGGTTCATGTGAATGCTTATGGTTCTTTTGTGCTTTAGCCAGAGGTACTAAAGAAGAGAGGGAGGGTTTGAGATTAAATTTTTGTGAAAGCTAATAGAAGACATATAATGAACCTAAGTTACTTGAAAATTCAGTAAGAGGCAGTAACTTGGGCTGGTTGTTTTCCCTCTTTGCCTTTGAATAGAAATGCATGCCCGTAGTGAGGGAGTGTCAAGTGCCTGTGCTGTAGCATCACTTAGCAACATACACTTACGAATCTCTATTTTGAAGCAGTGTTTCTCAGAATTAAAAAAAAAAAAAAAAAGTTATATACTTAGACACTGTAGTCAGTGTATACACCTCTAACTTCTGTCCTAAAAGCACAGGTCAGATAATATTGCGGTCAGGAGAGTCTTTGTGGGAAGCTTCAAAATTTACTGGGTTTATGTATCCTGGTTGCAGTGTATCTAAGAGCATTACATTAGCAAATAGAACGTACATTATAAACTCTTGGGAAAACTTAGATTTCAGCTTTACAAGTTTGCAGTATAAGTTGAGATGATTTTTTTTGCCTATAAAGACTCACATAGCCTCTTTAGTTCCTATTTAACTCTAAGCCTTTTCTATAGATGCAGATAAATAGTTCTACAGAGAGGATTGAGTAGAGGTGTGTGTGATGTTCTCTTATGAATATCTGCTCTGTTTATGGAGCTTCTCTACCACAAGTGGTTTAACGGGTTTCCTGAAGGGAGTGGAGAAAGAATAATCTTAGAAGGCTAAAGGATTAACATTTCTCTGCAAAGTTTTTAGAAGTCTGAGACCAGGTGAAATGCAGTAGAAATATGACTAAATATTCTGCATTTTGCACACTTCCGAAGGGCTTCCATGTACAAAATTTTAGCTTTGTGTTTGTGCGTATGAGTGTTTTAAACCCTGTGAAGTAGCCGTAACAGGTATTATTGTCCCCATTTTAAAAATTAAGGGAGGCAAGTCGGGGTCATGGTTTAGGTAATGTTCCCATTGTCACCTGATAGAGTGGCACTGAGGCTAGAGCCCAGATATTGGGATTTGACGCTCATTATACTGTTCACTTTGTTTTTCTCAGATATCTTCCCTTTGAGCCTAGAGACCATACATTTTCACTCTTTCTACATCAGTTTCAAGTGGCAGCGGGAGAGATCAAGGCAGGAACGCTGGAATCTGTGTGGCAGTTGGAAGGCCGAGAGGTCCTCAGGAGCAGAGCTGGGTGGGCAGGGCTTCACATCATTTACTCATTTATTTGTCCCTTAGTGTGACACTATTTTTCTTAGCCACTTTTGCAGTTCCTCTCGAGTTTTGCCTGTACGTTGAAGTTCTTCCCCACATTTCCTTGCTACTGCTTTCTTATCATTCTTCCTCGTACTGGAGACCTTGTCTGGCGTAGTAACTCCTAGAGCAAGTGATTGTTCACTCTTCTCTTGAGCAAAAAAGTGAAAGTTAAAATATTATATCTATACGTGGTCAATTGTAGGGGAAGAGTGACTTAAGAGGACTCTGTTCTCAGATATTGGTTATTCTCCAATTCATACTAAATCATCTTTTATTCCCCAATTCATACTAAATCTTAAGCATTTTCCCATGTCTTTAAACATCATTTGAAAATACTTTTCTCGATTCTTCAGCGTTCTGTTGCATGACTTTAGTATAATCTATTGATGCCTTTTTCTTTTTTGGATATTTAGGTTATTTTCTAGTTTTTTCTGTGATAAAAAACTGACTCCTTGGAAAAGGGAATTTTTAAGTATTTACCGAGTTAAAAATATGGTTTAAATGGTTTGCCTTAGTCATTAATTCATTACTACACTGTAACAGTAACTTCAATCAGATAAATGCATGATTGTTTTTCTGAAATAATACAATTGTGATAGTTTTATTTTCAGACAGGGAAAATGCATAAAGATGGTCAATGGAAGGAAAAGATTTCACAATTATGTCATTAGGATTTATTTACTAGTTAAGCTTTTATAAAAGGTGCGACAGCAGTATTTTTAATGTAGCAGGTTGATACATAAATGTATAGTGTTGTAAAAATCAGAACCAAATTATGACTAATCATTACTTTGTAAGAGTCATTAATTTATTGACGCTTATGTATTTTGGGGGGTGTCTTCCTCAAACATTTGAGCTTGATTGTTTTTCATCATGCATATAGAAAAGAGCTCACCAATTATAAGCAAATTAGTAGAAATTGAGGAGCCAGCTTTTGAATTTCTTAAGAGTTTGATCTCCCGGAACTATGCCTTTTAATTCCCTGTGGGCCTGTGGGGATGGGTTGGAAGGGAGAAGGGAGGGGTCAGAGGTCTTCATAATGCTCTCAGTTCCTTTTCAGTCTGACTCACTTCTCCACCCAGTGCCCAAGATCCACATGCAACAGGCAATGAGTAGACCAAGTTTGTCTACGGTGTTCTACTTCTTCTCTCTGGATTTCTTATTTCCTATCCAATATTTTCTCTCCCCGGGTTCTCCTCAAACTTCCTCATCATAGCATCTACCAAGGCCTATAGTTCGGGAAAGGTCTCATTCTCCCAAATTGTCTTTGACACTTCTTCTTCCAGGTGTATTTGCTATTGAGAGTATTCATAGGGGAGCCAGTGCCTTAATCTTATTTTGATTCTGTTTGGCAAGCTCAGCACGAGGGTCACAGAGTTCTACTCCCCGGGAAATTTTGAGGGAGAGGACCACTGCGTAAAAATGGAACCGGGAAGTCATGTAAGTTAAAAAAAAAAAAAAGTACAAAGAAGGCTTTTGCCATTAGTGCAAAAGAACATTTCTCCTTTTCCCAATCTATGGTGGGTAAAATGTGTGAGCATACAGGCATTGACTTGTTGCCTTGGATAAACTCAGTATTCTTAAGACGAAGTCATACATAATTAATTACCTGTCTGCATTCTTTCCAGAGTGATGGCTCTTAGTATTATTCACACTCATGATAACTTATGTTTCCTGAGTACAAGAGCCCTAGGTCTGCCAATTAAGGAAGAAGAGGCAGTGGCGGTTATATAACCTTGGTGCTTCTGTAATGTGGTGGGTAATTATCTGTCTTTTTTTCTTCTTAACTCCTAGTGTCTGAAACAGTACATGCAGCTGGCAATCCGAGAAGGATGTGGGTCTCCCATCACTTGCCCTGACATGGTGTGCCTAAACCACGGGACCCTACAGGAAGCTGAGGTATGGATGACTGCACTGATTTTTCCCTCTTTCCTGTTGACATGATTTCCTACGATCTTGACTCTTTATGTACTTCTCTGCCAGGGAGTCTAGAAACAAAATACAGAGGTTAACTTTTTTTTTTTTTTAAAGATCATGTTTTATTTACTTTTTTATTTTAATTAATTAATTTATTCATTTATTTTTGGCTGCATTGGGTCTTCATTGCTGGGCGCACACGGGCTTTCTCTAGTTGTGGAGAGCGGGGGCTACTCTTCGTTGGGGTGCGCGGGCTTCTCATTGCAGTGGCTTCTCGTGTTGCGGAGCATGGGCTCTAGGCACGCGGGCTTCAGTAGTTGTGGCTCGCGGGCTCTAGAGCGCAGGCTCAGTAGTTGTGGCGCACGGGCTCAGCTGCTCCACAGCATGTGGGAGCTTCCCGGACCAGGGCTCAAACCCGTGTCCCCTGCATTGGCAGGCGGATTCTTAATCACTGTGCTACCAGGGAAGTCCCCAGAGGTTAACTTTTTAAAGGAGTACTTTACTGCTACATACCTTGGATTCTTTATAGAAACTGTTAAAGCTGTTACTTACTTTGGTTCTATTTCTAAATGCCCTCTGATTGTTGAAGAAGCTCTAGAATAGGCTAAGGTGCTAGAAATTTACCAAATGGGAGGTTTGGAGGCTGAATAGTCAGGGGCCTTATCTGAATAGTCAGATAAGGTGACAGATTAGCCACGGTTATAGATAATATAAATTATTGTGATTCTGCAGAGGTAGCCTGAGTTGAACCATTTCCAAAGAGCAGAGAAAAGCCTTTCATTCAATATTTATCAGGCATGGAAATGTCTTTTTTGAGTGAGTTCTTCTCCCACTGTATTAAGACTGTGATGTATCTCTTTCCTTTGTTTTTTCAATCCCTGATTAGTAGCTTGCCCTTAAATCTGCTTTTAACCTTCTGGCCCTGCTCACTTTAAATCTTGTCTGTGTTCATGTAGTTGCTTTCTTAGCCAGTATACCATCTAATCCTTTCAACAGACTTATAAAACTGAAGCCCAGAGTGTCTAAGTAATTTGCCCAAGAGTGCATATCTAAAAAGCAGAAGAGCTAGAATTCCAATCCAATACTTTCTGACAAATTACATGGCTTTAAGAGTAGAACTAGGTAGATAAATAGAAATGCATGATAAAGGACTTGATAATTGAAAGCCCAACAGAGTGCATATATGTGTATAGAGATATAGGTGTGTGGATATGTATGTATGTGGATACGTAAACACGATACATACACACACATATGCTTTGTATACAAATATATATGCTTTACATACATATCCTTTGCTTTGTACGCAAAGCAGTCAGAAAGATGTTATAGACCATATTTAAACCAATCTGCATCTGAGCGCCCTGTGTTTAGCTTATGAAATATCGGGTAAGTGGTACAATTGAGCTTGAAGTGTTTTGGGGGGAAGAATAAAAGGAATACATAATGGTTTAGAAGTTGTTCATTTTAGGAAAATCATGAAATAAATTGAATTTTTAAAATAAAAAGGCAGTATTGAATATGTACATCCTGTGGTGAGAAATTTGTGTGAGTAATGGGTAGAGGAAATTAAAATGGGGAAAAATTAGGTTATCTACCAAGAATACTATTGATCTGTGCAGCTTGGAAGTGGTTTTTAAAATGAGACCCAGATCTGCAGGAGCATCTTTCTATACATAAGCCTTCCAGGGAGTATGCTTCCTTTTGTTTACTGAGTGTACAATGTGCCAGGCCCTGTTCTGGGCCAGGACAGAGAGGTGAATAAGACAGTCCCAGTGCTGTCCTCCTGGAGCTTCTGATCTAGCAGGGAGACATTATACTGATAAAGAGCCAGATAATTATAAGAGGAAAAAGTGTGAGACGGAACAGGCAGCAAGAGCCGTGTCTGCCATGGAATCTTATTTAATTCATGTATGCAAAATCTATTAAACATAAATGAAGTGACGTTTCTAAACAAGCCTTTGAAATTAATCCCAGTCTCTCTTCTAGATAAGCCTACAGGTGTCTATTTACATCTAACTAAAATTAAAGTTAGAGATTCATTCCTTTGTTTGCACTGATCACATTTTAAGTACTCAGTAGCTACATGTGGCTTGTGGCTACCAGGTTAGACAGCACAGAACAGAACATTTCCATCTTTGCAGAAAGCTCATTACATAGTGGCGTTCTAGACTTTGAATGAATGGTAACCATTCGCCATTGACACTTTGGATATCAAATGTTAGGGCTAATGTTGTACAGATGAATGAAGACAGGCCATGGTTTGTCTGAGAGATCTCTAGAACAGTCTAACTTTTCTGGTTTTCTTAGTATAGACATTCCCTGGTCATCTTCCCCTGTAGTTCTCTTCTCCTTAATCCTTACTTTTCCCTCTGTTCACGTGCTCGTTCACACTTCCCTAGTGCTGATTCCTTTTACCCAGCTTTGCTCGAAAAACAATTTTACTTTTAGGCTGCATTAAAAGCAAATAAACCCATAATGGCTCTTAAAAATGACAAAAGGCTATTTGAAAAACAGAACGAAAACATACTCCAAACTAAACTATGGTACTTCTTACATTCTCCAAAGTCTGTTTCCCATTAGGTAAGTAAGAGACACTCCAGGACATTAAAGGACCGTTTCTGTACTCGTAGGTCTGGCTAAGAGCCTGACTGAAGATGGGCATGAATTATAGTAATCAAATGTTCTTAATTAACTTGCCACTATTTTTTTTTTTCAGAGTAAAAAAATGTGGTGGTGGTGGTGATTGTCTCTCATTTTTGAACTGAGAAATGAGTAGGTTATAATGGAGCTATTGGTGGCTTCGACAGTTTATATGGGACTATTCCTTTCAAAGCAAATACCTTACACACATGAGCTTGGGCTGTACCATCTCCCTTTCTGACTTGACCTCAAGCTTTTCTCATATACAGTTATTATTATTCTGTCACGTAGCTCTTAATCTAGATATTATTGAGTATATCACAATGGGGCTTATCGACATTGTGCTCGACTGGATTCTGTCTCTATGACTGCTTCTTCCGTCATTTAAAAAAGTATTTATTTGTATAGGTAACACATAAATATACTTTGCTTGTTAAAAAAGAATAATTCTGGTTAAGGCTGAGGTTCCCTTTGTGCTGTAGCTATTTATAGTACGATACATGGTTCTTCACCGTTCATTGTCTTACAACATGTATGTAAGTATAAAAATTTTCATCTTCAAAGGACACCTCTGAATGCTTTCCTATGTAGGTCTAGCTCACAAAGTTGACTGTGCTTCATATGTGTGTCTCCTGCAAGCTGTAATGCTCCCAAATTGGCTCAGTTGTGGCTCTGCCCCTTCACTTCTATTTATCAGGAGTAGCTTCATCAGCAAAGCATTCAATGCCCAACCCAAATACTATTTACGTAAGAAACAGCAGAAAGGGCAGCTTCCCTTCAATGTCATGGAAGCTGGCGGGAGTCAGTGACTGGAGGACTTGTGCCCTAGAGGCGCAATTACTGGGACCCCGGGGGAAAAGGAAAACCTTACTTGCGTCATCTGGTACTTTCAGCTGTTGCTCAGCGGCGTTTCGAATGCACTTGATCCAGGAATCTTGCCCAACATGGAATTATGAAAGGCAGGACACAGATGGTTGGTCCTGATAGCATTTCTTCAGGCAAGGCCTTTGCTTGAAGTTAGTAGCCCTGTTAAAAAGGTGATGACTCATTTAAGCAGTTTCCTTACTGTGTTAGGGAAGTAACATACCACCACAGGGAGAACCTGACCCATTTGTCTGGGCCATGTCAAATTTGAGTGGCGAGGGACTTCCCTGGTGGTGCAGCGGTTAAGAATCCGCCTGCCAGTGCAGGCGACACAGGTTCAATCCCTGGTCCGGCAAGATCCCACATGCCGCAGAGCAACTAAGCCTGTGCGCCACAACTACTGAGCCTGCGCTCTAGAGCCCGAGAGCTACAACTACTGAGCCCACGCACCACAACTACTGAAGCCCGCGCACCCTAGAGCCCATGCGCTGCAACGAAGAGTAGCTCCCACTGGCTGCAACTAGAGAAAACCCGCATGCAGCAACAAAGACCCAACGCAGCCAAAAATAAATTTAAAAGAATACATATTAAAAAAAAAATTTTAAGTGGAGCACATACCTACCATTACACGGCCTGAGAAGTTGAACTTCTACCCCTTGCCAGCTGGCAGTGGATGGCAGGGAACAGCTTCTCACCCACCAATACTCCTACCAGGTCCTGGGGCACTGACATGACCTGCCTTTACTGCTGGCGCCACAGCACATACCCAGAGGATGAATGGGTGCAGCTGTTCTTGTCAAGAACGGGAGCTCCAGAATTGATATAGGAAGGGATTTAGGGTGGGGCACTGTGGAAGGACTGGGATGGGGGGATGGAGGAGTGGAGTGCCAAGAAATTTGAAGTTATATTTGCAAAATAAACACAGTTTTTACTCATATCACGTGTTTGTTTACGGTGGCTTATGTAAAGGCTGCTGGAATTATAAGAGATCCAGTTGTTCCCCCCAAATCACCCTTTAGCACTGTCTCCACTTGCCATCTTTTCATTTAACTCTTTTATCCCCCCATTATCTGAGTATGAAGCTGGGGCAGAGGAAAAATGAGGATGCCCAGGCAAGTGTCCATATCGATGTGTCTGTAGTTTAAGGACCTGAATGAGAAGGGACTGAGCATGTCTATAAACAACCTTTGACTGTGTTCCCTGTTGGCTGGAGAAGAATAAAACTTTGGGGTGGCACAGGATAAAGGAACCTGCCATGCTGGAGTTAATAGATGTTTTTGAGATTCCAAGCTGAATTTTGTCTTAGAACATATTTAAAACGTTGTTTGAGGGCCCGCATGCAGCAGCGAGGACCCAATGCAGCCAAAAATAAATAAATAAATGATTTTTTTAAAAAAAAAGTTACAGCTATATAATTTTTTTTAAAACTGCATATAAGTGGAGAGTAATGTTTCTAAGCTTCTCCTTTAAGTAAA